TATTATTTGATATCAATCGCGATAACTCGTTAATGCCCACAAAAATACACCACCAGCCTGACTCCGTTTATTCTGCGCGAATGAATTAATACAACAGAACAAATTGCTAATTAGCTTTGTCCACGAAAGTACGAAAGTAACGCGTAACTGTTTATCAAAAATTACGACACAGCCACGTGATTTATTATCGGGTTCGATTGCTGCCGCCTGCCTGTTATCACGAGTTCGACGACCCTTCGTTTCACTTACCATTCGCGTTACCAGACGTCGTTGGAAAGTAAAATCAGACAATTGTGAGATAACGCGGCGACGCTAGGCACAGGTTTTCTCGAGAGTAGACTGCCTCCATTGGGAGATGGGTTCACCGGAAGAGGAATAATAAACGACGACGATGGCCACAAAGCAACGTAAAGCCTCGCCCCGTTCTTTGACCGCTCTTTCAAGTGTCTCTCTCTCTCTCTCTCTCTGTTTCTCTGTACAAAATCGTATCGACGGGAATTTTCCGCGTATTGGAGAGAAAAACCGCGGGAACAAGCCACGTTTTCATCATGGGTCGCGTCGCGTCGCGTCGCGTCGTCCGTACAAATGGTTTCTGCGGTTTCACAAATGGATTTGCACCTCCTTTTGCAACAGAGAAACTGGGGCGGACCATCCGGTGTAAAAAGTGGCTCGGACCACTTCGACAAGAGCATTTCGAGTCGGATCATCTGCTCGTCCACCTGATGCAAATCACTCGGTTTGCTACCAGGTAATTAGGAAGATCTTGGAAGCGAAAGGAAGCGTGTAAAATCTCGGAAGTCAATCGGCCAATTGGACCTTGAGTATATCGCGTCGCTCGTATCAGAATCAATTTTTTGTTTTTTTTCGTTTTCCTAATCGGGTATCTGATTCTAGATTAGAACAGATGACGTATTTGAATGACGTGTCGATCGATAGACTCGCACGTAAAAGGGACAAAAGAACGTCGATTGGATAGAAAAGAGCGATATCAAACCGGTCGGAGCCTTCTTTTCTTTCGATCGTTTTTTTTCCGTGTTCTACGGGATAGAAAAAAAAGTGTGAAAAAGGAAAAAAGGAAAACGTTCTGCTGTATTGGGACAGTTGTCGGACAATTCTGTTGAAAGCGTACGCGACGCTTGAAATCAATCAGACACTGTCGAGATATCGTATCATTTATTAGTTTGCCTGTCACACCTTGCAAATTCATACAATAGGCATCGCCTTCTTTGAACTTGGCGATGAAAAAAATTGAAAAAAAAAAAAAAA